GGCTGCGCCGATAAAAAGGCCATAAATCCTGGCCAGCCGGTGCCGAAGCACAGATCAGGGCAAACCAGTCGCTCTGCCAGCGAGCAGCCGCCTTAAGCAGATAGCTGCGCAACGCCGGAGACGGGCTTCGCGTCCTTGTTGTCAACTTCGGCAAGTCTTCGCCCCGCCAACGGTATTTTTCACTGGCAGCCCGAGGGAAAAGAGCCCTTCGGACCGGCCGCCCCCGGTTTGTAGCTGGGTGTAGAAGCAGTTGGGAAGGCCTCCTTCGACGTGCCTGAGGCTGGCTCCCCTGTGCTAGTGGAAGAAGGTTCTGCAGGGCCAGCTGGAGCTGAACGCTTGCAGTAATGTCTCCAAGATCGGCATAAATTTTGCCAGCGCAAGAGGAAGCTGCAAATGCTTCTGAGAAACAAAAGTGATCCTGGCAAGCTGAGGAAACGATGTAAAATAAACAGTAGGTAATTCAGTTAAGGCAAAGGCACTGGAGGAGGAATAACCACCTGCGCAAACATACAGCCCTGCACTGCCAGTGCTTTAACAGTTCTGCAGAAAGCGCTCTGGCTGTTGAAGTGGGCCAAAATCGAATTAATGCCAGTGATCATGGCAATGGAAGCATAAAAACAAACAATTACACTGTTTGCGTAATCGATGCCTAAGGTCATACGTGTTAAACCTGCCGTATCGCGGGAGTCAGGAGATCTCAAGCCTAGCCAGAAAGCAAACAAACACTGTTCCATCTCCATAGATGTGAAGTAAACCTTTTGCTTTGCTCAGGTCTGGAAGGGCCTCAGCTGATTTCGGCGTCAAGATTTCTGTCCCACACCGCAGGAAAGAGGGAGCCACTTGGGACACAGTCCATCAGAGAGCAAGAAAACCGACCAGTTTTAGAAAACTTTATGATCTGTAGGAAAAAGACCCTAAGGCTTGGGTTTGCATAGAAAAGACTGAGCAAAGGCAGGGCAGCGATTCGCAGAGGTAAAAAGTTGCAGCGAAGACGCTTTGCACGTGCGCTGCAAGTTTTTTATCACCTTAGGCTGCAACCAGGCTGCATCCCGGGAGACGCCTTTGTAGCCCTGAGGACTGGGCTGTAAAGCAGCGGGAGCAGTGCTCGCTCACGAAACCGAGAGCCTCCCGCCACTGGAGCGGTAACGGGTTTGCGTGCCCTGTTCTGTCATTTTGGGAACAGCTTAGATAAACCCCTGTCAGGCCCGGTGTGATCGATTTGCGAGGGTCGAAGCCTCTCGCTCCCCTCCTGCC